GAAGATGTTTCTAGTCCTGCTTGCTGTCCCTCAGCACTGTGGTCACTGTGCTGTGATTGAGGTGAAATAGGCCTAGGCAAATGTTACTGACCTTTCAGTCAGGAAATGCTTTCCCGTGTTCTGCCTAACTGCTGTCTCTCAGATTCTTAAATGAAGTTGGAAGTTAATCTGCTTTTTCTATCACAGAAGTCTCTGAATACTACTCAATTCCACGCAAAAAAGAAGCGGCCTTCAGAAGAGAACACATCAGATCCTTCTGGTAAAGTAATCTTCAAAACTCCTGAATAGCTTTTCCTCATTCAAGATGAATGCTTTTCCTTAACACAATGGTTTTAGTTTCTGGCATGTAGCAACATACTACTTCTAGAAATGGCAGAGTTTAGTTTCAGTTTTGGTACAGATACTCATTAGCAATGGTTAAATTGAGGGTCTGGTGTGCCACACAGATTCCCAGGTTTTGCATCCCTGGACTTGCCTGGGCTTACTCTCCTGAAGGGTAAAGCATAGGTATGCATCATCATTCATATGCAACTTGGTTGCTGTTGGAGGGAAGTCTGGCCCATGGATGTGGAGCTCTAAGACACATCAGTACATTCCTTAGTCTGGAAGCCTGGAGCACCAGCTGTGGGGCAGAACCTGGAGTGCCCTGACTTTGTGCGCTGGCACAGCTGTTGGTAGAAAGACCTTTGAGGTAGGGAACATCAAGACAGTGGCATTTTTCATTTGAGAGAAACTTTCACAGGTGTCATCATGCTTCCTTTGTACAGTACCCTGTCACATTCAAGTACTAGATTTACATTTGGGAGTGCGTGAAGAAACATAGTTTAACTTTTTGTGGAATTAGTTAATAACACTATTGCAAAGGTTAAAAAACCCTAATTGTATATAGGGGTTTTTTTTAAGCATACATGGTATCAGTACAAAATATATACAAATATAACAACTCTTGATTCTTTTGAGTAATGCAGGTTGGTCAAACTTGGGGTGTTAGCTTCTACAGCACAAACAGCTATATCTACCCTGTGCAGTTTATCAGTTGGTTTAATAACATGCTCCTAGACTTGCTTGAAATGATGAAGAATAATAAGTTTTTTATGATTGATCATCCAAATCCAGAGTATTCCCAGATAAATGTATCATAGTTGTTCAGCCAAAGACAGGTATATTCCTCCTATCATATTAAAATACTCAAGACTTTTAGATGGTTATTTTAATAGTGAGCACAATCACTTTTCCATTATATTATAATGTGTTCCTGAATCGTGCAATGTTTGTCTTTATTCTGTTGTTTCAGTGGATAGTCCATGTTCTGTAAAGGTCTGGTGTCCCAAAGAGATAAAGAGATCTCCTAGAGATATTACAGAACTGGATGTTGTTCTGGATGAATTTGGGAAGATAACAGCAAATTGCAGGTAAATATTCTGCTTTCCTATGGCTGAATACTCAAAGTTTTAAAAACAAATTACCTGCATTTTGCTAGTGGGCTGTCCTTCAGGGGATGCACTATTGCATAGTTACATGCTGATGGTATTTTAAAGATTATTAGGTTTCTGTGATACAAATATTTTTTGTATGTGGTCTTGAGATGATCTCCAGGGATTCGGTATTTTTCCCGACTTAAGAACAACACATCTCAGCTGATGTTTTTCAATGTAGAAAATTAAGCTATTGCTAGCACATTAAAGATCTACATTTGCCTGTGCTACTAGCTGCTTGCCACTAGGTTTTATTCATTACTCCAAGGATGAGATTTCTTCTTTACTAAACCAAATGGGTTGTGTTTTGTCTCTGACTTCTCCAGACAAAGCACAGAATCAAACATTTGCAGAAAAGCTATCAATAGCTTCTGTGCTGCCTTCAAGGACCAAATCACTGATCTTGTAAGTACATCATAAATCAGGTTTGTGGTAGTGATTATAGAGCTGTATCTTACATCGGAGTCAAAATGCCTATGGTTTCATATTGTCCTTTGCATATTTATTTTATGATACTTTAAATGTTCTAATTTCTTGTCAGGATAAATACTGTGAAAACAGTTTGTTGTGTGCAGGTTATGATTTTCTGCCTCTGTGCTGGCTTCTGTGAGAATTGCCTTTAGACGCAGTACTGCTCTCACTGACTCAATAGAATGGTTTGGGTTGGAAGTGACCTTAAAGCTAACGTAGTTCCAACCCCCCTGCCATGGGCAGGGACACCTTCCACTAGACCAGGTTGCTCAAAGCCCCGTCCAACCTGGCCTGTAAGTACATTGCAAAGTTGTCAGCTTTTGAGAATAGGGAAGCATCTAATAATCCTGTTTGTCGTGTCTAAAGCATTATGTAGTAAAACTGGAGAGCTGCATAGTTTGACTGAGCCGTTATGTCAAACACTGAGGTCATGGATTAGTTTTAAAAGGTTGATGATTTAATGGTTATATTGTGTCTCAGTGACTCTTGTGTAGAGGCCTGACTAAGGCCTCTAACAGGAAAAATTGGCCTTTTTTAATTAAAAGTTTGACCCTAACTGTAAAAAGCTTATTATCTTGGAAGACTAAGATTTCTTCTCACTAATAACCATGAATAAATAAACTGAGAGCTTTGTAGGAGTTACAAGAAGTATGATGGATAAGTACTAAAACTACCAAGTGATTTATTAGAATGAGCAAGTTCTAAAACTACTAGATTTACACATTATATGTAAAGTTATAGAAAAATTAAGCTAGGTAGTTCTCCACTAATTGGTACAAGGAGTATTACTTGCACTGACTGGTACAAGACGACTTATTTTGTGCAACAGTCTTCCTCTGGCATGAGGACAGGAAAGAATTAATATGCAACCAACACTTGTAATCTTCCTTTGAAACAGTGCTGGGGTTTTTTAATCACCTTTTTATGTCGTTCCAAAGTAGTTCTTGCAACTGTGTTTTTAGGAGGATAAAGATGAAATCAAGATCTGTAGTCAATCTGTAATTCTTCTTTTCCTCTGTAGATAGTGGCAGTCCAGGAATTAGAGAATATGAAGAAAAAAAATGCCAAGGTAAATACTTATTTATCACTAGGTTGTACAGCATGCAGAGATGGGCACTGAAATTTCAAGAAGTTGGCTAGAAGGAATAAAATAATTCACCGAAGTGTACTGTACTACAGAATCAATTGCACAAATAGAAGATATGGAACCTATCCTGGTTTCAGCTGGGATGGAGTTGATTTTTCTTCCTGGTAGCTGGTGCAGTGCTGTGTTTTGGCTTTAGTTTGAGAACAATGCTAATAACACATGGAGGTTTTAGTTGTTGCTGAGCAGCACTTACCCTGATGAAGGACTTTCTCAGTCTCATGCTCTGCCAGGGAGGAGGGGAAGCCGGGAGGAAGCAGAGACAGGACACCTGACCCAAACTGGCCAAAGGGGTATTCCATACCACAGCACGTCATGGCCAGGATAGAAACTGGGGGGAGTCACCCGGAAGGCCCAGATCGCTGCTCAGGTCGGGCTGGGTGTCAGTTGGCGGGTGGTGAGCAATTGTATTGTGCATCACTTGAGGGTTATTTTGGGAGGGCAGGGTTTATTCCTTCCTCCCTCTTTTTATTTCCTATTATATTGATAATTAGTACCAAATTATTCAACTGTCCTCATCTCAACCCATAGGTTTTTACCTTTTTTCTGATTCTCCTTCCCGTCCCGCTGGGGTGGGGGGTGGAGTGAGCAAGTGGCTCGGGTGTGGTACTTAGTTGCCACTGGGCTTAAACCATGACAGAACCATCAGAGGCTTTTTGGAAAAGATCTTGAGTAATACAATGGATTGGAAACTCCATATATATACTGCTAAACTGGTGTAAAAAAGAGGAGTGCGCATTAGGATGTGTAGGCGTCTAAGACTGAATGATTCTTTTTCATGAATAACTCATGAAATTAATGGTGGTGAGGCCTCTGGAGAGCCAATTAAATATTGAGAGCTAATCTTCAAGAAATACAGATGTTCAGAGGAAGGCAGTTCAGTTCTTCTGTTCATTCAGAGTGAGTAGGAAGTGACTGAACATGTAACAGGGGAGCATCGACATGAGGAGGGGAACTAGTGTAAGAGCAGAGAAATGTTGCAGTGATCTCATGAGGAGAGAGGCGAATGCCCTGCCACAGCAGGTAGAGTACTGTTTGTTGGAGGCTTTCTGCCCAGATTAACATCTTCTGCCAGCTTTTCAATGACAAAATAGTTTTTAACAAGTGAAGTCAACAAAAAGCTTATTCTGGGAGGTAGCAATTAATGTGCTAAAGCCTAGTTAGTTTGAGGTGATACGGTAAGCTACTCGGCATGTAAAATGAAAATCTTAATACACATCCTGGCATTCACAGTCACTCAGAGTTAACCTCATTTTGCCTCTTTTACATCTGTTTAAAATCAGATTTGTAGTTCCTAAATTTACATTTGTTTTTGTTTAGGTTGGATGTTGTATTAATGAAAGCTTAATTATGCTTAGTTCCTTTGTTATGGCAATCATACTGAACATACATTCGTATCAGTCTGAATTTTTAAGACAGAAACAAAAGCTTGCTAGAGTGGGTCATGCTTGGGTTCAAAATGTCACAAACTCCTTTTGTATGCTTGTAAGTCCAATGTTCCTTAAGAGAAATTTTGGGTGCAGATGAGAGTTTGACATTTTAAAGAGCTCAAAAGTGCTTAATATACAAATGTAAAGTTTGGCAGTTTGTAAGGTCTGGTATCTGGGAATCTTCCACACCCAGAAAATCAGAAGCATAAAACCTCAAAGAAAAAAAGCCAATGAAATTGGAGTTACTTGCCTTTGAAGTTACACCACCATTTCAAAGATTTCTCTCACTGTTTGTTTCAGGTATTAACAGACATCAAAAAGAAAAGGCAGCAACTGTTGCAACTCAGAGAAGAGCAATTTGGGTATGTTTCTAATGAGGCACAGGAATAGCCTGAAGCACTTAAGTCTGGTATTTTGTAACCTAGAAGTGAAAAGTAACGGGTTTTTTGTTCTTTATTTTGATGAAACTCTACTCTTCTATTGCTTTGTTTTTGCAAAAGCTCAGGATAGCCTGATATAACTCAGAATAGTCATTCTTACAAGTTTTCTTAGCTAACTGGTTACTGGGATGGTATTTCAGACCCTTTTTCATAAGAAAAACATGACAATTTTGAATCAGAAATTTACAGAAGTAAGACAGAGAGCTCTCTTTTGAGCTGGGAGAATGTGTTTCACCTCTGCAATTTGGCAGGGATGCCTCTGAGTACATGGTTTGCTTCCAACTCATGTGGCCACACAATTCCCCTTCCGTAACTTGGCATTAATCTTGAGAATCATCCAGATGTGCAACACTTAAGCTCTTTGGAAGAACCACTGGACTGCCACATAACTCGTTTGTTACTTGTGACAAGGTTAATACCAAAGCTGCGTATAACACACGTGTAAGTTAACTCTGTAGGGAACCACAGCCTTGGATTCGCAAAGGCAGATTAAAACCCTTCTCTATGGCCATGAGAGTCTTTGTTTTCTTTGGAGTACTATGGACAAGCTTCACTCAAGGAACTCACTAAAGGCGTCCCTCAGGGTTTGATCCCCCTCACAGACTGTGTCTTCACGTCTTTTATTTATTTGTTGTGTTTTAATCTTTTGATCATCTTAAAGTTTTTTTTGCTGCAACACCATTAAATGAAAATGGCTGTTGGCGTTCAGTTTGTGGAGGGCAGTTTTAATGGATTGACCCTTCCCTTTTACTTAGGCAGAGGTGTGTGTACTTGGTGGCTCCTGAGTATGCTTCAGTGCAGCACCCAACAAACATCTCAGTCTGCAAGCAGGTGTGTGTGGAACTCCAGCTACTTAAGAAACTTCACTTGAAAAAACCTCAAGTGCTTCAGAGAGAGTGGCTATACTGCCAGACTCAAAAGAGAGATATGGGAAAAAGTTCTCTGTTTTACGTGGATTTGGACTCATGCTCCCATTTAAAGACTATGCTGGTTGTTCTAATTAAACAGTGTACTTACACTAAGCTATGTTTTATATTTTGACCAGCCTTTCCCTGAAGTCTTCAGAGGAAATATGTTCATAGTAACTCATGAAATAAATATGCAGATGTAGTCATCAAAGCCTTGATCTTTTTCAGAGCTGAGCCACAACTGATAGGCCTACAAAGAGAATACACCGAGGTACAGGAAAGGCATTCTGCCTTGAGGCAAGCAACTCAATTACTTACTGATTTAAAGGAGCTACAGCAAGACTGTTTGGATTATAGAGAAGAAAACCCAAAAGAAAAAGTGGTCGTAAGTACATATTTTGTGTGCGTTCCTGAACTGTTCTGGATCGGCCCTCCCACCCTTTTTTCTTTCCCAGACTGATGGGCATTTCTATTAAGTTTAACTTACATTAAATAGCAGTATTTTGTTAACTGTCTTTGTGGGAGCAACTTGAGCATCACTGCTGCAACTGTACTGTGGTATCTATCTCACTCATTTTTTTTTGGCCCCGTATTAGAAACTAAAGTATTCCAGAAAGGATTCTGCTACCTTACTGACTTTATCCGGGAACTCAAAGGACACAGAAGCATAGCAGCTGTCCTCAGGTCTTAACAATTTTTATAGAAATCAAAGAATGATTGGCAGTGAGAAACAAGGAATCAATTCCTTTTGTTGTTACTGATCAAAGGTGGAGAATGTGCTGGTGCTTATGTGTGTGTTCTGTAAGGTGTTTAATTATAAGGACAGCACGTGTATTTCATGACGAGAGTAACTACTCATGTCGTCTTAGCACTCCTTGCCCTGTCACCATGGCTTATGACTTGGTGTGGTGTTTCCTGTTGGCAGTGCTACACGCCTGTCTGTGTAAGGAATCCTCCCGTTTCAGAAGCCTCTCTACTGTTGGCTGGTTTACACTTTTAAAAATCACCTTGCACCATTTCAGATGGAAGAAAAATACATACAGATCTGTAAGCAATTTTTCCAAGAGTTAAAAAGGTTGCCTTGTAATTTTATTTCCTTATCAACAGTACGGAACTTCCAGCCTTCCTGCTCTTCTGGTGGAGTCGCGGAGAATTCTAGGAGCAGAAAGACACTTTCAGAATATTAATATGAAACTGGAGGAGGCTCTGGCTGTACAAAGAGGGAAGTTATCAGAGAAACATTAAGACTTTTTGACACTTGTTAGAAACAATTATTAGAATGGTCAGTGCTTAAAGCTTGTTTAATCATTGCTGCTCTATGTTGCTTCCGTATTTAAAAGAAGTCAGTGACTTAACCAGAGGTTTTATCTTTCTATTGTTAAATAGTCTGTGTGGGAACGTACTCAGAATGGCAATGAAATTAATGAAACAGGTATTCCAGTTAAAGTAGTAAAATGATTCTGTGCTCTGTGAACAACACTGGTTTTTAATCTTGGGCTATTAAAGTAATGTGATCTTGATTAAAAGCAATATATATTTTTAAAAGAGAATACATAGATATGAAGTCAATAAAAATATTTGTGTACTTGAAATAAATAATTTCCATTTCTATCTGCCTTGGTTTAGTCAGTAAAACTTGGACATACAACGAACAAATAGAAACCACACAGCAGAGTGTTAAAAGTGCTAAACTTGGAGCAGCATTCATCACAAGTTTTCAGTCCAGTACTCTTCAGCCCCCATATAGTCTTCCATGATCTCCTCATGCCTGTTGAAGACCATCCAGTTATGAGGACACTTGGTTGTTGGCAATTAGTTCTTTGTCTTACAGCTCTACAGGAGCGCTTCTGATCTACATCACAGTATCTTTCACAGAAGGCATGCAACAGGCAAACTTCCCTGCTAGCAGTCTGCCAGCCAAGTCGATGGTTAGCTGCTTTCTTTATTGCAGGTGTCCTGTTTCCTTAAAGCTTCCAAAAGAATTTCATCAGGAATTTCTTCCATGGAATAATTCAGACTGTCATTTGCAGCTTCAGCTAGTTCCACATCTTCAGTAGCTTCTAAGAAACAGGCATCATCGCTTGCATTGTCCCACTCGCTGTCTGACAACAGGAAGCCTTGAGACAAGCTTTTTTCTAGATATACAGAGCTTTTTGACAAGTCTAACACATCAGAATGGGGCTTTACTTCTGTATTCCTGCTTTCACACTCTTCTTCCTTTTAGAAACAAGAATATTACTTATACCATAAGAAAATAGTCTTCGTACCTTTAACTGCTCTGACCTGAAACTTTGAAACTCATACTGTCCCATCTAATGGCTACTACAGAAAGCTGGCCAACAAGACAGATGTTCTAGCACCATTCATTTATAGTCGCATTAACCTGTGGAAGCCTATTTTAATAGGAATAGAAGTACTCTGGTTATCTAGCAAACTACAAGTAGTCTGATGAATACAACTTCTTAAATAGTATAAGGTTAAAACTAATTTTAGTGTCTGTTTAAAGATTCTGTTGGGATCTGAAATTACACTTTCTGTGAAATAACACTAATAGCTATTGATGATCTGCTTCAGTAGAGCTTAATGTGGCATTCTGCAGTGTTAAACTTAAAAGTTGCAGAGATGCCGACTCCTACTGCCTACTCAGTTATTATGTTTAGGGCTTAGAATCCAGGTGCAGTATTAGGTTGGTTTAAATATTCTACCCTTATGGGTAAACACAACTGCTTTAATACACTAAAATGGAGTTAAGTGGACTTCAGATTTGAGGGTCACTGACTTAAATTTGACTCTGACTCACGTGGTCCAGGAGCACTTCTATTTTAGCTGTCCCAGCATGAAGCCAAACATGCACAGCAGAGCTTAATGCGGGCAGTTTCTCTGTTCTGCACCTGCAGTACTCTTGTGGTTTATGCACTGGGAACTGCTGCTCAGACCAAAACAAGGAAGTCTTTAGTCTCAGGGGAAGGTAGGCTATTGCAGTAACTCAATATATAAAGCTGTTGCAGCTTTATCCGTGCTGACAGGTTTTGTGGTCGATCTGCTGGAGAACTTAAAAATGGATATATGGAGCTACCCCACCAGCACAGCTGCTCTGAAGAGCTGTTCTGTGCTAGTGTAACTACTCTAAGCAGCTCAACAGGCTTTGCTAGCAGGGATTTCCAGTGACCTCCAGAGACAGCTTTACTCACAAGAACTTTAGCATATTGATAGGACAAAAACATACCTCTTTGAAAAGAAATGGTAGACAGATCCTAGGTGGTAGTGGAAAACCTAAATCAAATATATGGCAAATATGTGAGTTAGATTCCAAAAAGTATTAAGTATAATTGCTCTGAAATCACAGAATACATACTTTGTGATTTGAAGTTTTTTTCTCTGCAGACTGGATCGTGACACTTCTGATACCACACTTCCTTCTTTAGATCTACCAGAATCCTAAAAATGAAGCAATTTATTTTTTAGTACAGTACATAAATGAAGTGAATGCAGAGAGAAGGAAACTGACACTAAATGAACAGGTTTCATTTGTCCCCATCTATGGATATTGCTTTCATCCTCTGACATGCTGATTGCATACTTGTTTTCCACAGGCCCTTATTTTTCAGAATAAAAATAGTAAGAGTAGCAGTGAAATTTATCAAACTTCATTACATAAAGCTTGCAAGAAAAAGTCCTTAAAGTAAGATTAGTATATGGGACCTAAATGTAAGGTAAGGCTTTGTTGCTTCTGCTGTTACAGTTGATTTCATTACAAAAGCCAGATAAAAGCACTATTTCCTGTCAACTGCTTAGACAACCCAGCTTTTTCAGCTGTGCTTTAGAAATGCCAAGTTCATCTAGCATAGTGGCTGTGGAGGGGTCTTGTATACCCTTGTTTCTCTGAAATGCATTCCGTATCTTCCAGTTACTTTAAATGTTATGTAAAATTATTTTTACGTTAAAATATTTCTACTAATGATATAATGCAATTCTGGTGTCATCTGAAAACCTGACTTTGCAACACTTCTTTTGCTAAAACTGTAAGAAGGCCAAGTCCTTGTAGAGTGACCAGCAAAACTCATCTTGACTGAAGTGGGGGCAGGACTTAGCCTTGCCCTTTTAATAACATAAGAATGTACTTTAAGATGCACTGTAAATGAATTTTAAAGTGTTCTGTTTTCTTTATGTTATTTCTGCTTGTTCAGCTAAGCAGGATCAAAGCACAGTACCACTTAATAGTGTTAACATACTCTGCCTTGTATGTTAGCATCTTCAGGCACATATTTTAAATAGCATGAAGATTATTTCATAGAAATATCAGAAATGCAAATTCAGTTATCACAGAGTACATTGGGGGGGGAAGTTTTGTTTGTGTGGGTTTTAAAAGTATAGTATCCCCACAGAGCAAGAGAGCAGAAATTGTAACAGCTGCTGATTCTATCCATAATAGCTTTTCAGCATTATTATCGAGTAACAGTTGAGCAGGAAAATTAAGCTGTTTCGCGGTGAACAGTTACAGAACATACATTATGTTGTTACTTTTGTGAGCTCTTCCAATATTTTCACACCACCGGTAACCAGAAATATCATACACAAGTATTTCATCCGGTGAGAAATAATTCCATCGCCGTATTCCTGGGGGAAGGAAAAAAGGAATTAATTCTTTAAAAATACTGCTGCAGAACACATTTGTAAATAGCAAAGTGGTCTTTACCTCCTTGTACCCCATCTTTATTAACCAAAGAACGAACAAAACGATCAATTTCTGGATACGGTGAATCCTGATAGCCATCCATGGAATCTGTTAAAACAAAGGCCACACATAAACACAGTTACTGGTTTTGCCATTGCCATATGGAACTGTAACACTGCTACACACTGTACAGACCATAGACAGAAAATGTACATGAATCACACCAAATCCTTAAATAAAACCAGGAATAAATTCACTGTTATTTTCCTCTAGATCTTTGAACTGCTATTGCCAACCCCAAGGAGCAGGGGGAAAGGGAACAAAGCATGACTGCCATGGGATCTCACTGAGGAGAGGTTCAGTGGCTGGCATCGACGTGCTGCACAGCAACCTTCAGTACAGCTACATGCTGCCTCCTGCAGAAAGCTTGCTGAAGAAAAGCCCTCCTTGAGGTTATCATCAGATGTGTCAGTCACAGTACATCCAGTGAAAGAGTAGAAGAGGCTTGAAGTACCTCTATTGCTTCTGGTAGTTTGACTGTTCAAAAATGCAGACACGTTCTCCTCCTCCTCTGAAAAGCCAGATGACAGAACTTTTGTGTCATCCCTCACTCTGAAGAAAAGAGAATACAAAGGAAAATCTGTGATTCTTAGAGCACAATATGGTATGGTGTAACATACTGTAACGTACCATAGTATGCCATGACATAACATAGTCCATGGCTACTGGCTCTAGGCATCCCTGCAGGAGCAGGTGGCTTCACCAACTGACCTCCAGAGGTCCCTGCCAGCCCCAGCCAGCCTGTGAGGCTGTCTGCAACCTTTCCCTATCCCTGTGGCACTTCTATTTAAAGACTGCTGGGCCACCCTCATGCAGTAGTTTTTGCTCTAGATATAATATATATATCCACACTTTGAAAGGTCTCAGTTGTTTTTTACTCTTTACAATGAACTACTTTTCCTTGTCATATTCCTAGCTGGAAGCCAGATGATCAGGGAAGACTAAATTCAACACAGCAGAAGTTCTTATGCATATTTATGGCAGACTCAGCTGATGCCTCTGTCTGAACACATGACAGCATTTATGCTACGGGCAGCAGTTCAGGATATAAAAACTTAAGTCACAACAAATACATGTTTTTAATAAAAATATAATACACAATACCATACAGCTGGATGTACTACTTTAACCCTCTGCTTTCTGCTGCAGTAATGACTAGGATCATCTTAAGGTACCATCAGTGCAGGGTAAGATATATCAGAAGTTTAGATTAGATACAGAAAACTTGATTATTGTATGTACCAGTATCCAGCCTAAGGAGGTATCCGTACCAAAAAGGCAACCCGGCAGGGAAATAAATATGTACAAAAATCCTTTTTATTTTCTATTCATAATTTACAAACGATTTACTCTTCATATTTAATTGGCTAGAAATCAATCTTTTTCCTTTCAGAACTATACAGAATCCGACCAAAATTAACAGTATTTACATTTCAGCATAAGTGTGTATAGAGAGATGAGGCACAACTCAGGAGCCAAACCACATGTTCTGTGGTGTTCTTCAAACATTTGAAGAGTCTCAAAACCAAGGAATTCTACTGGAAACTTCTAAATTACCTTGTAACAATGTCCATGGAATAACTGCCCATTGATAGACATTATTCACAACTGCTGCAGGAGAAAAATCACTAAAATACGTGTTTAAAAATACTGAAATTCCACCAGAATGAAATAATTACCTAACATTGCAGACCAAAGAGGAAAGAAAATACGCCTCTTCTGTGGAGACATTCTGTTCGCACTCAGGGACAAATTTATTATCCTCTGCTATCTTCAGAATCACATTTTTTCCTGCTTTTGACGATTTATACATTCGGAAATTTCTATTCTTTGTGTAAACTCCTACAGGAAAACAAGTATTTCTTAACATAACAATGCTGGCTGGGGTTTAAGATACTGAGCACTTGTAAATTAAATCCTTTCCCTGAGACTCTGCTAAGGGTCTAAGTAATGGACAAAAACTATTACTAACTTCAGCTCACATCCCATAGAAGAAATGCAACAAAGAAAGATCATGCACACAGGTATGTCTTTATGTCACAGAAGAATTAAGACGAACACTCAAGACCTCTAAGAAATCATTTTAATCATTCTGACATTCTTGTTGCTAAAAGCTTCCCTTCAGCATAAGAAATCAGTGCTTTCATTCTTTGTGAAATACAACTGAGCATAAAAAGCTGCACAATTATTTTAACCAGAAAGGACTTCATTTTCATCAAACTTTCTGTTTTCTGTGGACCGGACACCACTTGTCTGAAGCATGTATCAGGAAAATTTGATTCCAATCTCACGCAACAAAAAAATGAACAACTATCTTAAATATTGCCTGATCTGCCTATGAATTTATTGAGGAGGTAGGAGCTTGCTTTGTGAGTTGAATTTAATTTTCATGAAGATAAAAGAGATTAAAGAGCTCGTACAACAAAGAATGTCACATAGCCTTCTATCACTGCAGCTAATTTGATTTTCACTTTCCAGTTTTGATGTAACATATGTAACAAATGCTGAGGATGGTTAATCTGGGGAGACTAACACCAAATTCTTAAGAGATGATGCAGTAACAAATTTGGTTTTCTTTAATTTCTGTTCACAAACATACTTGAAGGGATCCTGAACAGCAGGTACAAAGTAATCCTTCTGACCCAGTAATGGAGAAGCCTACTACAGGGCCAACTTTGGGATTATGTTTCAACAAATCAGACACACTGAAGAGGCCTGCAATAAAAGTAATCCTGAATTCCATGAGAAGAACTCTAAAGAAAGGGAGTTCTTCAGAGAAATCTGAGAAAAAAAGCAAGATGAAGTCCTCAAGTACATAACACATTGCTGTGCAAATGCATGCTAAGCTGTTTCCATTTCATTAAGCCTATGCAAAAAGCAGAGATACCAGATATGGGGATGGAGAAGGGGGTGCAACATTAGTTTGACTATGGGCATTGTGCTCCTGGAGATTTTTAACATTTTAATACCATTAACAGGTGAAGCCCAGCGGGGACATGAAGTGCCCAACCCAAGATTTCTATTATTCTGTCTTTAAAATCTAACAACTGCCATTCCAAAGAGGGGAGGAAGGCTCAGTGCATACATGAAGAACAATACAGAAGGCCACGCCTTCCATAATGAAGCAGCTTCTACTTCAACTGAAATGAGAAAAATGCAATATGTACGCTATCCTCTTTTAATCCGACTAAGAACACAAAGTCTTTAGGAACGAAACTAGAGAGTCTTGTGTGGCAAAAGTTTCTTCAAACTTCAGAACAAAAGAATTAAATATAATAATAGAAGAAGTTCCATGGACCAGACTTTTAAGAGTACTTTAAAGCACACCATTTATGATCACAGTGTCAGCATATATTGCATTTGGTTTAAATTCTGACTGTAGGGACAACAATATAAACACTGTTCTTACTGTCTGTAATCAAAGATCAAGGAACATCTATTTTTGCAACCTCTGTTACATCTCAAAGAGGTTTAAAAGCACTTCTTACACTTACCTAGATCCACAAAAAGTTGCTTGTTGCCACCTTTATCATTTACTATTAGAAAAGAAAATTCCAAATTTTCTCCCTGGTGTGATGTTTCTGTATCCTTTGTTTTGTGAGCAATGGCTGGCCGGTCTTTGGAGGCATCTCCAACAGCTGTGAGGTTTGTAAGAGAACCATCTAAACCAGATCCTTCTGCAGAACACTCAAAAACACGTCCTGCTCCTTCTTCTGGAATCACAGCAGCAGCGTTACTCTCTATTAACCTTATGGCAGGCTGCAGAATCCTCCTCACAAAGTTACCTTAAAAACAAACAAACAGGAAAACCTCAACGCATTTAATAGTCAAGAAAGAACAGTTCCTGTGCAAACATTTTTCAAAACGGCCAGGATGGAAGTGGTTGGAGTTTGGGGTTTCTTTTTTCACCTTTTGGATTTAAGAGGAAAAATGAAATCTGACCAGCCCAGAGTACAGAATGGTTCTGGTTAGTGACTAAGAAACCCATGCTTGGCAAGAAGTTTACTAAACTTTTTCTTTTTTAAGCATAAGAAAAAAACAATTGTGTATATTAATTGTATCATACAGCCACAATCTTCCCCTTTGCAATTTTACTACTGAGAATGGAAAGAATTGAGAAGTGAGGTGGCTTGGCACTTTTGACACTTGCCAGCATTTTCTATTTTTGTATGTAAATTCATTGATCTCCACAGCTTTCCTGTGGCCTACATGATCTCTTGTACTTTCTCACATGAACTCAGTCCCTGTATTTTAACTCTAACTAGTAACTAATTCCAAATATTATATACTAAATGGTTTTAATCATATTTAATTTTAAGCCCATGCACTTTGTGCATGTCTCCTGATATTAAATGCTTATGAAACAACATAATCCAAGATGTGATAGTCCATATCCTAGTTTATCCCACGTAACTACCACTAACGGATCTTAAATATTTATTACATAGAACACAATGATTAATTTTAAAAAAAGACAACACTTCAATGTGTCTAAAAAATATATTACCCCTTTTAAGCTTAATATTAGGCAAAATCTTTCTGACACTTCAAAGAATATATATTTTTTCCTACAGATTCAGGGAAGTTACTTTATGAAGTTATCTGCCTTTTTAGTTTTTTACTACAGCAAAGGCAGAACATGAGTACACAATCTCTGTATTTTAAGTCTGACAGTAAACTTGACAAATTCACATCACAGTGGAGACACATAACCCTTAACTAATGGCCCAGAATGAACAGTTCAAGCATCTACTGAAAGAACAGACTAATACAATTTACTTAACAAGATCACGGGTTAAAATTGCTGTCATACCAAACTATTTATTATCCATGTATTACTTAAGAGTTTTATAGTGGCAGAGGAGTTAAAGACCATACTTTTGAACTAAAAATTGCAGTAATCCCATTTAATCTTTGGGGTTTGTAGCTGTTACCACGGTGTCGCATAAGAAATAACTGCTCTGTGTCAACTTGGGGCTGGCAGCCAATATTATAAGCAACCACAAATGTTAATTTTAGAAAAACTAAGTAGAAGATGAGTTGAGAAATAACGAGGCTTAATGAAATAGAAATCATCAGTAATTTCTGCTGGGAATAGGTATTTGTTTCCACATATAATTCCATTAAATATTCAAATGTGAGAAGGTTCTGTACAAAGTCAAAACCTCACTTTTTATTTCTAGGTGTAAGAGAAAAGAATGCACTTACCAACATGAATATTATCCTTAAATACAGCCTTTTGGGGTAGAAATATTAAGTGTCGACTAAATTTTTCATCAGTACTGGAATCTAAATTCAAGACATCTTTGGCTGAACAATTTACATCATAAAGTTCTTTTAAGTTTTGGCTGACAAGCTGAAATTATAAACATTAATTATGCTATTTTCTCTAGCATTTTTAACAGTAGCGTCTATAAAACCTAACACAAACATAGACTCTACATCTTTTTTTTCCACATTGTTTCTCTCATTTTGAGCATATAATTAATACGAACTAATTCATAAATCATAGCAAATTTTAACCAAATTTGACATAGATTTTATTTGCTGCAATAAACAAGTCACTGAATATACTAGCAGTGATAAGCTGAGCAGATTTTCAGCTTTTCAGGTCAAAGTCTAATTTAGTGGCTTTATCTTCTGGGGTTTTTTTTTTCCCCACAAAGCAGTTCACACCCACAGTGACAATGTTTGCAATGCAGGCTTACCTAAACTGGAAGACAGAGACTATCATGATCTAATGGTATGCTAATTCACTGGTATGACTTAGCTAATCCATTGCTATGACCCAATGAGCACTAACTAAGCAGAAAACATAAGATGTCTGGCTCTACAGTAGCTCTAAAAACCTACAAGCTAAGCTTGAGATTAATGTTTAGGACTGGGACTCAGAACCTAGGAGTCTAGAAGCCTAGGGTTTTACCATCTCAGATTCCCCACCCAGCAAATCCAAAGTTCTCTTCTTAACCTGAGGAATCTCTAGATTTCTGAATTGCTTTTCAATGGAGTAAACCCCTCAAGATTCTGTATCAGTGAAGGGGTCTTTACAAAGGAAGGTCCTCAATCATCTTTTTCTTTCTTTCCTTTCTAGCTAGGGACATGCAAGAATCAGAAGTCTCTCAAATAACTTAAAGAGATGTTACTGGAACAGATGTTCTTCTAAAAACCTGCTTTATTTTCTAATATCTGCCATATTGAATTTGCAGTGGAGCCCATTTTCCAACCAAATTTGCAAAAAAGTGGAAATTTGCACTATTAAATAAAATTGATAATTAGCACAGATATTCAGTGTCAGGTACCAAACTGATAAGCGCAGCTACATGATGTTCTCTACATCATCATTTAACTCAACTATAATGAATGGCCATCTGAAGACACCTAAAATCAGGAGGGATTTATTTAAGCCTTGATATATGACTGCACCAGCTGGCAAAAGAAATTAACTGAGGAGTATATGAATGGAACTTTTATCGATGCTACCCTGAAAAATACTTAAATATTCCTTCAGTTTCACAGCTTTGAAGTGGCAGAGCACATAAAACAATCTGCAAGAGCAAACTTTTATCAGTAAACCAGTACAGTGTTGTACAGCACTGTATACTGAATACAAGCATTCCAACAACCATCGTTGTCTATTTTTCACTTTCACTTAAAGAGAGCCTTTGCTTTCACTAAAACAGTACATTTTACTTAATTAAAAATAACCACTAGGTCTACAATACTTTTTCATTTTACTACAGAATAATGAAGATGAAGTGGTGAATACTTTGGTTTCGTATTAAATCAGGAATGAATTCACAATAATCTACAACATGACTTTGCTCCAGTTTACCTCAATTAACTTTGCAACCATACTCTTGCCATCTGCATCAGGATTTGCTGGTTTGTAGAACTCCAAATCAAAATAAAGTTTGCAAGCATCTCTTTCAGGAATTACTTCATAGCAATGCATAAGACTTGTTTTATAACCTTTGCTAAGGAAAGACAAAATCAAATCACAACCTCTCAAGATAAACATTACACATACTTATCGGTTGCAAACAAGGATCCCACAACATTCTTTCAATCAATCACCTATATCAAGAAAAAAAGCAGCAGCCCTATAATCCTTTGAAAAAAAAAATGTAACTAACTTCAGCATCAAATATCAACAAAGATATTTGTCTGGCCTAGAATTTAGGTTTGTATTCACCTCCCCACACCCTCCAAGTCTTACAATACCTACTGCCCACAGAAATGCTGTTGAGACCTTAAGGAATGACAGAAAAAAAACCCTTAAAACTCAAAAGTAAAGAACTTAATAAGTTATCACTGAGATTACACAGACTTTTTTCCAACTAAATTAAAAATTAATCTCATTTTCAATTTGGGAAAAAAAAATCAAGCTTACTTTTCATATAAAAATTGACTCTTAGATTTCTTTTACCTCATAACCAAATGTTTTATTGCAAAACAAATAAAAGGGAAAAAAAGTTTAGCACGTGATCAAGTTGCCAATACTTGAAACTACAGAACACAAACACAAATGCATAAATTGGTAACTACCATTTATATTAATGCCCATTTACATTAAAATATGACTCATCATAGAAATACGTTTGTGTCACACGCTGGCATGATTCTCTGAGGAAACCTGACAGCAAAAGCAAATCTACTGCTATTAGATTTAAGTTCATTAGACACAGTCCTTAATTCACAGGGAATAATTGCAGTCTGCAACTTGAAACAAAGTTGAAACTCAGTATAGAATAGATTGGTTTATCCTTATGAAGATTTTCCCCATGGCCAAGATGAAACCTCAGCTACCTATTAGAGCTCCATGCTAGTCAGAGCAGCAGATGGCTACTGAGGATAGCTATCCAGTAAGAACTATTACTGGATAATAGCATAACCACTACACTGCTATCTTACAGTAGCATCTAGGATCTTTTTTCAAATACTTACGTGTAATAAAACCAAAGCTCTTTATATGAGGTCACAAGGTAAAACCTCTGTCCACTTTGTGTGTTCTTTTCCAAGGCAAATACATGAACATCCTTTTAAAGTAAAAATATTGAACATTATTTTATTCAAACCAGTTAAAGTTTTCAGAAGTTCCTATTTGACATTACTTTGTTTGGTCAAAGGTTAGCAGATACTAGGAAACTGTAAGTAGATCCTTTATCCTTTTTCAAGCCAAGTAATATCTGTTTTTAATTAAGAACATCATTCTGGTTTCAGTTACATAAGTAAAAACGTGAAGGTTTTCTTTGCTCCCCGTTAATGTAAACTCTGTTTTCTCTATAACATCTTCTTTCTTTCTGATTAGTGGCAAGATCCTGAAAGGAACAGCCTCATGGTCATGATGGCAGTGTATGGCTTTATAGCAAATATTCTTTAGATTCTATATTATTTAAATCCAAAAATGGAAATCTGAAAACACAAAAAAAACTATTGCCAAGCCAGTGAGAATGCCTTTTGGAAAACAGACTGTCAGGATTACTTAAGCGTCTAAAAAAGCATGAAGAAAAAGCAGTATTTTCTTTAAAAGCAGCAATCAATGTGAAAAGTATTAAACTGAAAACAGAAGATATGTTTTGCTTAACATTCATTTGGCTCATTACTCTTATCACTGAACTTGCTACTCTGATACTGCTGGATAGTTGTACAGTTTTCTCTGTCTCTGCTTCCTGATTATCTCTTTTTCTTCCTCGTTTTCCTCCTCTTTCTTCCTACTCAACTCTCACTACTTTCCCATTCTCCTGACAACCCTGACAGCTTGTTCATCTTCAGAAGGAACAAATCTATCACTACAATGTTACCAAAAAGCACTTTTATTGCTAGAGGTTAACATCACATACTAATTGTATGTTAGAATAGCACTTCTCAGAGCTACCTCCAGTGTAGCATCATCTCTTCCAAAGACAAAAAAACTACTTGCTGTTTCAGGACTGGGAAGAAGGGGGTGGGAAAAAGATCTTGCAGTCTGGTAAGACTTTATTGCCAACAAAGCTTTTAAGTGAAGCTCAACCTAGGAAGTACCTAAAGAATAGAGACATTCACCAAACAAATAATATACCTCTTTGCAGGATTTTACATAATTGAAAGCTTCAGCCTGCCGACAAAATATTTTCCAAACAGGGGACGGCAAAAAGGGTTTGGACAGTGTTGGTTTATAAACCGGAGGAAGAGGGTTTCTTTCATAGTAAGATGCTAGTTCTTCTATTTTCTTCAGTCTTTCTTCCCAGCTTCTCTTCATTTGTCCTGAAGCAATAACAAATAGTAAAATAACTATCAATTTCTGTTTGTGACTCAATTTTAGTATGTCCTGTACTTATCACTGCTTTCAATTCCAGTTTTGTTGAACGTAATTTGTTTATTGAGAGAAGCCAATATTCCAAATCAACACCTAACATTGTTATAATATTCATTTTAACATTAAATCTTTCCACACAGTTTTAGAAGTAAGAGATCTCCATATTAGTACTATGAAAGATAAAGAGAGTAGACACAGTAAGGGAAGGTGTAGGAAGTTTCTTTTTTGTTTACAGAATAGTATTATATTCCTTCTCAAAAAATTACACAAACTGTGTTAACCAGCCACACAGCATTAGTAAAGAGTGAAAAAATAGTATTATTTCTGATTTATGGTTGGAGAGACAAATGAGATAGATTATTAATTTGTATAAGTAGCACAGCACTTGAGGTCCTGAGAAAAAGCAAGGTATCAGTGACTCTAGCTCTGAACTCTGTATCTCAGAGATGTGAAATCTAAAAGGAGGGCTCCATTCTCTGCTGCCAACCTTTGCTACTCATCAGTAATACTGTTTAAAATCTCATGTACTTTCTTGCAAATGTAAGGTAGCAAACTTATCTCTTCCAAGAAATAGTACCTGATGACTTGCAACCTTTCAACTTCTAATTACACAAGTAATCCAACTGTTACAAAGCAACATAGGAAAGCATAAACACAACATTAGCATACATATAATAATTTGCAAGTTTAATTAATTTTTTTCTGGAGAATTAATTGCCCCTCTGAACACTTGCAAATCAGTAAAGAGTGTTGCTAAGAAACTGTAAAACAGAGAAAGAGGGACAAGAAGTAACCAAGATAAAGGGGCATCTTTTGGTTTTGCCCTGCAGTAACTACTCGGTTCTTGTAACAACCTCACAGTTGCAATGAAAGATAAAAATGAGACAAAAATGACACTGACCCTGATCAATGTTCAAACCTTTAACAAGCTGCGTCCACAAGGTGAGTTTAAGTATTTAAATATTCTTGCGGGTTGTGAAGCTCAAATTTTACATCCTCTGAATGCCCCTCCGAGTTTTCCACAGTAAAGGTTCCTACATTTCTGCCCACTATCCATCTAAGCTTGCCTGTCTTTTGATAGTTTGGTGGCTATGTCAAGTCTGAATAACAGAATGGTTTTTCTCTGACAAGGCTCAAACATATTATCTCTACAGACCTTGTCAGTCTCCTGACCCATGAATTTCCTCCACTTCCTTTTCACGCAATTAGTTTCTTCTTTGGGAATTAAGAATGAAATTATAGACAGCAATCAGCAGTTCCCAGAACTACTAGCAGAACCCTCAGCTTCATATTGATGCTGTTGGCCCTGTGGTAAATTAATTGGGTGCAAACGACTTTCCCACAAGATGGCCATTAAAAAGAAGCAAACAAAGGAGAATTTCCATAATTCTCTATTCATTTTAAACTTCCTAGTCCTAGAGGGCAGGGGGGCCCAAGACT